ATCTCTCTATCTCTCTATAACTATAAATATCTACCTAACTCTCGATCTATGGAAGTTGGTCAACAGGGACTGGAGTGTAACGAGTTAACAGTGGGTAGTGAGGTTGGCTGGAAGTGAAGGGGTTACAATTGGGTAGTGAGGTTGGCTGACACAGAAGGCGTTGACAGTGGTAGTGACGTTGTCTGACAAGGACTGGCAGAGAAAGGGTTAACAGTAGGGAGGATGTCTGACAGGGACTGACAAAGAACTTAGAATAGGATTTACCTAAAAAGGCAAATATGCCCAACTGGTTTTCGTAATTGAGGCAGAAAGAGTCACACTTTAATTGGGATACTTATGGGAAATGTGTATTGCAGACCTGAATTTTATGGCAAGACAGGAGGCTTCATATTAACTTATCTTTCTTTACTGAAACCTCCCAGCAGCAAAGAAACCGTTAACAATGATGTAAAAACATTTAACCAATCAAAGTGTACAGTATGGAATATAGTGTTATCAAGCTCCTCCCAATTCCTCTTTCTTTGCTGCTTGCCTCCCAGGTGAGTCTACTCCAAATATATTGCCATTTGGTATAGGCTAATTAAATATATTTTGTTTATATTTTGTCTATTTCTTATCACAATTACATGTATCTTATATCGTCACACATTAATGTTTAATTTGGTTCTTTTTACATTACCATAATTCTTCACTATTTCTCACTTCAGAGCCAAAGGTGAAATGGCCTTTGAATTTACTAGAGTGCTAATCCACTCATATTTTATGACTTGTGCACATATATTCTTTGTGTGTCAAATACTCCAATATTTTATTAAATATTTGGGTGACCCCCAACTCCAGTGTTTTTATTACCAATAGTGGTTCATCCCACTTAATATAAGTTACTGGTCAAGCCCACTAACTGCTATACTGCCGTACTTACAGCTATTCTTTTTTACATAGTGGGTGACCCCTACTAATTGCTTGACCTATTAAGCTATTGCAGTCTAAGACCAAACATGTCTGATCAAGCTGAGCCTGCAATTTCACAAGAACTGCGCACATGGCTTATTTCCACTATTGCAGAATCCACCCCTAAGGCTTTAGCAGCCTTTCACGACAAATCTTCTACTTAAGCCAATCCCACTATACGTCTTCCCTCAGAAGACTCTCAACCTTCGGATCAGAGGAAGTATCACGTAAACGTCCCTGGAAAGGGGATAGTGCATCCGCAGGAAAGAGCAAAGGATCCCGCCATAGGCGTGCGCAGCCTATAAAGTACAAGCACACGCCGCGTGTATATGTATGTATGTATGTATGTATGTATGTAAGTCAGGGCCTGAAGTTGGGGGAGGGGCTTGGTTCCCCCTCTTAAGGAGCACCAGCCCTGCCACTCACTACCGTCTCAGGTCTGGAGCTTTGCATACCCTAACTTCCGGTCCGTGCAAAATCGCCATTTTCTATTCTGAAAACTCGTGGAAACACTTACCTGGTCCTGCAGCTCCTGGTCAGCTCTCACGCTGGTTCCTGACTCCGCGGAGACTCAGCAGGTCTTCCTTACCTCGCCAACCACCCTCCGACTGGTGCCAATTTGAATCCAAACCATAAGTCAAGGCTGCCCGTCGTGCCGCAGTCGCTTCGCATCATCTTGGGCTGGGCCTATCAGTATTACATGCTTCTCTGTTCGTATGATTCATGGCATACGAACGCTTAGGTTCTTCATTCGGTCAGAATCACTCAGTTTGGCGGGATTTCGGGAGCATACGCACGAACGCTTTGTTCAAGCACACAAACTAACCTCATTCATATGATTTCGTTAAATTGATAGTGCTTGGTTGTATGCACACATAGCCCTTCAAATGGGCCGTTCGTATATTTTACCGATCACTATTTCGGGATTTGTAAAACTGCTGATTAGTTAATTTTTATTTACATTAATGTTGGTTATACCGACCTATGGTGGTCAGACTAGTTATTACTTATTGTATTAAGTAAAGCCAATTAAGGCTAAGTATTGTATTGGTATGGGTAGTTCAGATAGGAACATGAATTTTTCTTCTCGGCTCATGATCTGATTTCCAAGCTGTTACATAGGTTTCTGTTCCACAATACATTCTGAATGTCAAACTGCCTTCACTCCAGACAGACAGACAGACAGACTCTTTTCGCTGAAATACAGGTTCCACTTTACTGTCTCTAGTACATAGATATCTAAACACGTACGTTATATACATACACCATTTTGAAGTGTTCAAATGTTCTACATTATGTGTATGGGGCATAGATTAGGTGTTTGGGCGATTTAAAGCCTATAAGTGATTATAGACCTCTTATGTTTCAGTCTCAACGGCATCCACAGGGGGCTGCTACTCTACCACCTTTTTCATCTGGTATAGGTAAGTAATTTACAATTAATTGTCCACTTATGGTCTTCAAAGGCCTGGGTACTTATGTGTAATTTCTGCATTACTAGGTTTAGGCCATCCTTGCAGCTTTTTGATTCTTTGGTTCCATTCTTTTGGATAATTTACCGGTAGGTATCTTGTTATCAGTGGGGAATTAAGGGTACATATCGATATAACCCTGCAAAAACTCACAATTACTCTCGTAGGTTACTACAGATCGCCTGTATCACCTTATCCGGCTACTTACTTTGCTCATCAGGTACGTCCTTTTTTCGCAAATTTCTCCCAACCTCCCTACCCTGTCGGGTTCATAGTCTAGTTATACACTGGCATTGGAGCATAGGAGCCTCTAGGTATGTTTTTCTGGCCTTCTATCTCCCATCCTCATTTCGGAGGCAAGACATTCCCTCGGGCCAATTCATAGTTAGCCGCCTCGCTTGGTTGCATAGAGAGGGCCTCACCTGTCACTCCCATTCTGTCTTTTGCTGTTACCTGCCACAGAGAGGCCAACACCCCGCCATAATGTCAATGGCCACGTACCCCACTCAGGCCATAGATAGTGCCTCTCACAGCCGCTTGGCAACTAGCAGAGCCTCACCTGTCACGTAACTACCTAATTGTTTCGCCGCTTGGCATTAGTTACGTCAGCCAGTTGGGTATTACCCCAGGTAACCTATTTTGTTTTACAGCATGTCACAACTACCAGAAGGCGGGGAAGAACTGTCTATCCCTAGTACACCGGCTAGATCAGTCACTCCATTCCAGGGTGGCGACAATGCGAGCCCTTCATCCCTCAGGTCCTGGACCATTCCTAGGATCACAGCCGAATTGAGGAAAAGGAACATCCCTTACCCAGCTACAGCTAGGAAAAAGACTTATGAATACTCAAACTGATAACACCGGGACGGATGAAGGGTCTAGTAGCGGTCAGTCTTCTGATCTGCAGACTGTATTGTCTTCGGTCCTGACCTCCTTGGGTCATATTACTGACAAGCTTGACAAAATGGACGCAGATAGCCAACAGCATTCGCTCATGGCTCTGGGTAATCCTGACGCTACGGTTCTCCCCGGCCCTCTTCCTGGTAATATTCCAACTGGTCCTAGAGAACCACATATTATTAACCCGGCACACATGGTGCCTGCTAACCTTAAGAAGGACATCTTGGAAGGGAAGGATGTCAATTTGATATCACTGCTCATTGCCTACCAAGATATCCTTGAAAAGAAGACATATCGGTGGTACTAAAAGCCAGGGACCCCAGGCTGAATTGCAAGCTATACATCCCTGAATTCGTATTGGCTTTCGGGATCTACAGGGACGTATTATGCTCAGTGTATCCCTATAGGAGGGAAGAATTGGATCTCTACCTCCACAAGCTGGTGGATTTGGGGCACAAGTACGGTGGTACATCTTTTTACGACTACCACTGTGCTTTCTCCGCAAAGGCATTGGTGGCTCTATCCCAGTTTCATTATCAAGCTGACTGGAGTGTGCTGGATACGGAGCTTTTCTGTCGACACTTTGCGGGCCTAAAGACACCAGCTTGAGCCATTTGTGCCTCCAACTCTCACACAATGAATCTGTGCCCTAATACCCCGGAGGTAAATACCTTCTGCCCTCCTTCCAACATGATGCCCACAGGGAGACCAGGCAAGGTCCTTAAGGATAAACTTGTTTCTGGGAAAGTCACAAGTATGTAATAAATTTAATACGGGCACTTGCGGTTACAGTGCCTGCAGGATACTTCATGTCTGCTTCCAATGTTTCCGGGCTCACTCTAAAGTAATGTGTCCAAATAAATTATACCCCAAGCAGTACCTTTTGTCTCTTAATGTCTCACTGCTGAAAGATTTATTGTGTGGTCACCCATCTCAACATCTAGTGGAATTTTTGGTGACAGGTTTCACTTTGGGATTTCACACGGGTATTATTCATATGCCTACAGGGGTCTTAGAATGTAAAAACTTACAGACAGTCCTGGCAGATCCTGACGCTATTGACCGACTACTGCAAAAAGAAATTGACCAAGGGTTTGTAATTGGCCCTTTTGACTCTCCACCTTTCACGGTATGGAGAACTAACCCCATAGGTCTGGTCACCGGTAAATCCTGCAATAAGCAAAAGGTTGATTCTTGACCTCTCTGCTCCCCATGCATCACCTACCCCAAGTCTTAACTCACTCATTCCGTCAGAAGAAATTTCTCTACAATACGCAACCATAGATAATGCCATCACGGCTATCCTCTCAGCGGGGTGGGTGCATGGCTTAGCAAAACGGACATAGTGAATGCTAAGCCATGCACCCACCCCGCTGAGACATTTACATGGTGTTAAATGGCAAGGGGCATACTATTGTTTCACATGTCTTACATTCGGTTCTAAGAGCAGCCCAAGAATTTTTCATATGTTTGCCGAGACGTTGTGTTGGATACTGCTTAACACCTGTAGATGCCCCCACCATTATTCATTGCCTGGATGATTTTCTTTCCATAGAAAGTAACCTGTTACCTCCCAGTAGCCTCCTTGCTACTACACCACTGTTCACACAACTAGGAGTACCTATTTCATTGACAAAGACTGAAGGTCCCGATACGGTCATCAACTTCTTGAGGGTGGTGCTGGACTCTGTACATATGCAGGCTAGCCTCCCCAGGGAGAAGATCGAACGCACCCTGTCTGCCATTGACCTTTACCTAGCAGGGCAGTCATGTAATAGGAAGGAGTTGCAATCCCTGTTGGGTTCACTTAATTTTGCAATGAAAATTATACCCCAAGGGCGGGCTTTCATATCCCGGCTGCTTAGCTTATTTCCCCTTTTACAGTCCGATTCCTCCCGCATAACGTTAGACGTACATGCCACCACTGACTTACGTATGTGGAGGGAATTCTTGCTGCACTGGAATGGAAAGAGCATTTTCGTTCCAGTATTGACGGACAAGTCCGTATCTATCTGGACAGATGCCGCGGCCACTTCCGGATTTGCCGCTATTTTTGGCAATGAATGGATGTGAGGCAACTGGCCGGAGGAAGTTGCTGAGATACCAGAGTTCAAAGACACATCCGCTTTATTTGAGCTTTACCCTATTCTAGCAGCGGCAGTTAAAGAGCTTGCTGGTCGGACAACATGGCAACATGCTATATTGTAAACAAGGGACGTTCCTCTTCCCTGGCCATCATGCGATTTATAAGGAATCTGATGTGGCAAGCGGCAAAACACAGTTTTTTCTTAACTTGCATACATGTTCCTGGGGTTCAGAATATTGCTGCTGATCATTTATCCCAATCTCGTTTTCAGGATTTCCGGGCGACGCTACCCACAGCTGCCCTAATACCAACTCCAGTACCAAGGTGGCAGGAGATGGTATTGGATTAAATAAACTACTCACTCACGGGCACCACCTCTCACAACTAGGTCTTTCTGTTAAAACCAGGAAGGCTTATGGCAGGGCTTTTCATATTTTTAATAGATATGTGCTTGACTTCAACATCTCAGGCAAATTTTCCATGGAAACAATGATTGCGTTCATTTCCTTTTGCCACCTTCACCTAAAACTATCCTTCAACACCATTAAATTATATATCACCGGTATTCAACACCATATCCTCACCACCTAATAAACAACGTTTCCTGTCATCTTACCAAGTAAAGGACATACTTAAAGGTATCAAGGACTCCACCCCTGCACCCACGACATCCAGATTACCTATCCACGATCTCCTATTCCAGTCACTGTCAAACCTTTTAGATACCTCACCATTTGAAACTCACAGAAACCAGGTCATGAAAACGGCCACCTATTTGGCGTTTTATGGGTTCCTTCGGCCCAAAGAGTTTACCACCACTAATTACAACACCCCCAACTTCCTCACAAGATCCAAACTGGTAAAAACACACAATCACTATTTATTGTCCCTACATCATACAAAAACTAGTGTGAAGAGACAGACGGTCACTAATACCTATTACCCTACTGGTAATAAATGGTGCCCCGTGAAAATCTTTGACCAATACCTTTCTTCCAATTCAATAGCACCACATCAACCACTACTAGCATTACACGGTAATACCCTCACTATCAGTAAGTTCATGCTCTATGTAAGAACGTTGTTAGTAAGGGTGGGACTAAATCCGGCCAAATATTCCGGTGACTCATTCACTCATAGGAGCGGCTACTACCGCTTCAAAGAGGAATATTACTTCGCACATCATTAAAATATTGGGCAGGTGGAAGTCCACAGCTTACACCAAATACATACCCCAGCCAGTTCAGGAAGTACGCCTAGCATTCAAAAATATGATTGTGTGATAATCTTATGGTGTATTGTAGGCTGAATAAACTGGTTACATCTTTTTTGCCCTCTTGTACTCAGCAGTGTTGTATTCAGCAGACTGTGTGTACTCAGCAGTGTTGTATTAAGCAGTCTGTGAGTGTGTGAGTGTGTGTGTGTATTCAACAGTGTATGTATTCAGCAGTCTGTCTATATGTGTATTTAGCGGATGTTGTGTATGTATTTAGCGGGTGTTGTGTGTGTGTGTGTATGTATTTAGCGGGTGGTGTGTGTGTGTGTGTATGTATTTAGCGGATGTTGTGTGTGTGTGTGTGTGTGTGTGTGTATTTAGCGGACAGTGTGTGTGTGTATTTAGCGGACAGTGTGTGTGTGTGTGTGTATTTAGCGGACAGTGTGTGTGTGTGTGTGTATTTAGCGGACAGTGTGTGTGTGTGTATTTAGCGGACAGTGTGTGTGTGTGTGTGTGTGTGTGTGTGTGTGTGTGTGTATTTAGCAGCCGGTGTGTGAATGTGTTCAGCAGTCTGTGTGTATGTATTGCATTTGTTGGAGATACTAATAAATATAAGCTTAATTTTATCTATTTATATCATCATTTAAAATTTGTATCGTTGAACTCTCTGTTGTGTTCTTCTTTTAAAACAAAAGTTGTTAATTAGTTCAGACAACTGTAAGAGTTGTTTTTTTCTAAACTTCAACTTCAGTATTCAGATTTAATTGCCGTGTTGGCACTTTGAGGAAAAAAAAAGTTGGCATGTATTGCGGTTTGGGCACTCGGGCTCAAAAAGGTTCGCCATCACTGTTCTATCATATAGGAGTGTTAAAACAGCAAATATGAAGCCTCCTGTCTTGCCATAAAATTAGGGATCATTATAGCTTTAGTGACCGAATAATCTAAATTTTATTAACGACAGGAGGCGAATATTTTCCCACCCTTCTGTTCGTTATTCCCACCCTTTGAGGTAAGTTTTTGGATTCACTAAGGTATACATTTCCACGAGACATACACACATCATATGACATCGGTTTACAAGCCAGTTATATCAAAGTGATAACGCCTTCACTAACAATAATTTATATGAACTCTCTTGGCTTGACGTTCATCTTATGTGATCTGTAAACTGCTTCTCTCTATATCCTTCTAGTGTGAAGAATTCAGCAGTTGACAGTTTTGGTTTACATGGTTGACCAACGCACAGGACCTAAAGTTTTGTCCATCATTCGTACTGTTATGTTTACACAGTTGATCTACACCACGCTTGGCTACAGAAAGAAAGAGGAATTGAGAGGAGCTTGATAACACTATATTCCATGACTGTACACTCTGATTGGTTAAATGTTTTTACATCATTGTTAACTGTTTCTTTGCTGCTGGGAGGTTTCAGTAAAGAAAGATAAGCAAATATTCGCCTCCTGTCGTTAATAAAATCTAGATTATTCGGTCACTAAAGCTAGAATAATCCCTAATATAGTGCTTCCCTGCAGAACGCACCTTATTTAAAACATCCTCAATATATGGGTCCAATTTACTTCTCATTCAGATCTATGAGAAGTCTTTGATTGGACCTCAGCGCAGATAACATGAGTTCCGAGACTAAAGGTGAGTACAAATGTGTTTTAAAATGCTTTTTCAGAGTTTCTGTTGGGGGCCACGGTGGAGGACATATGAACTATCGCCAATAGAAAGGGGTGGAGAAACCCTTTAAGGTCAAAATAGCCTAACTGGAAAAATTGTCTAAGTCTGCTATTATTTCAATTCAGCAACTCTACAGGGGTACCAATTGGGGGGATTCCCAGATGTTGTAGAACTACAGCTTCCATGATGCTTCGTCATTCTAAAGACATGCAAAGTATCAAGGGAGTTACATTTCTACATCATTTAGGGATCTACATTTTGGGCATCCTTGCTGTATTAAATAGCCTTGACTGTGTTTCAGGATTGTTCACTAAACTGAGCATTGATGACAGCATTGTTTAAACCATCTTTATTTTGGCATAGAGAAAACACATCAAGTAAAACCAAGAAAAATAAAAATAAAACGAAGATAAGCATAGTCCATATATTGATACTGGTATCAACATGCAGGAGAAATAAGTGACTGTGTCATAGACTACATATCATTAATACCCAGGAAAAACTGGGCACCCCCCAAAATAATATCCAATCCAGTCCGTATGACAATGGGAATCATTATCTGAGATACACCTTAAAGGAGTTCTAATTTGTGTCAGTTAATCCCTTATTGTCCAGACCGTTTTTTGGACCAGGGCTGGTTTTACATTTCTGCGAAGGTTGTGTTTAGCTGTAAATTTCATCTTACTCATTTACTGTACCCACACATTTTATATACAGTTTTTCTCACCATTAAATGGTATTTCTAAAGATACCATTATTTGCATATCATATAATTTACTATAAAAAGAATTGTAAAATGTGATGAAAAAATGTAAAAAAATAAAAAATAAAAAAATAAAATAAAATAAAAAACACACTTTTTTGAACTTTGACGCCCAAAATCTGTTATGCATCAGCAACCGCCAAAATATACCCATGCTAAATAGTTTCTAAATTATGTACCGTGTTTAGAAATACCCAATGTTAACATGTTCTTAGCTTTTTTTGGAAAGTTATAGGGCAATACGTACAAGTAGCACTTTGCTTTTTCCAAACCATTTTTTTCAAAATTAACGAAAGTTACATTGTAACACTGATATCTGTCAGGAATCCCTGAATAACCCTTCACATGTATATATTTTTTAAAATAAGACAACCTAAGGTATTAAACTTGGGGTATTTTGACTATTTTCATGCAACCATTTTACAACCAATCTAAGCCAAATTGTTTTCAAAAATGTAATAATTGGTGATTTTTTTGACACACATAGCAATTTAAGAATACATGTACTGAGAACTTTAAGGGTTACTGCCAAAGAACACCCCAATATGTGTTAAGCAACATCTCCTGAGTACAGTGATACCACCCATGTATAGGTGTGTTGGGTTCTCTGGGACTAAAATACCTTATTTGGAGGGTACGCATTCCAATTTTCCAACTTAGAATTTTCACAGCTTGTCATCATGCCCCCAAGTCCTATTTGGGACATTTTTGCAGCCGGACAATGTAATTTGCCCCCATCAAACCATATATTTTTAAAAAGTAGACACCCTAGGGTATTTCAAATGGTAGTGTTTTAACACTTTCCATGCACTAGTTCTACCACCAGTCTTTGTCAAACGTTTGAGTAGTCATTTTTTTGGTGTTATTTTTCTCTCACGTTGTACTTTAGGCATGGATTCTCAGTTCCTGTTATGTGTTACTGACAAAGAACACCCCAATATGTGTTCAGCAACATCTCCCGAGTACAACATTGCCACCAATGTACAGGTTTTATCGTTTTTTGCAAACTTACAGGGGTCAAATATAGGGCTTTCCCCTTTTCCATGTTTGCACATTGAAATTTGCCAAATTGGTTTGCTGGGCCTATGTTGCCTTTGAGACTGTATGGCAGCCCAGAAATCAAAATTAACCCCATCATGGCATTTCTAAAAGTAGACAACC